TGATGTTATCGGCTGTGAATAGTTTACTTAGCATCCGACACAATGACCCAGAAAAGTGCGCTGCGGGGTTTGACAGCACCACCTGGTACTCTTTTCAACAAGTACGACCTGAGCAGTGTATCTACTCACAAACGACCTCTGCGAATGGTCAATGGGGCTTTTCTACGACAAATTCTTCTGGATACACCTCACATTCGACTTTGGTTGACAATTGTTGTGACGTTTGGATGAGCATATGGTCAATACTCCGTTTGTAAACGCTAGCCATAATCGGATTCACAATTTTAATGGTCCTGGGCAGTTGATCAGTACCAAGTTGGACAATATAATCAGAGAAATATTTGTAAACCAAGCCTTTCCACTGTAACAACTCGGGTTTCTCAGCAAGTGCTCTGTATGTTCAACGCCCATTTCCATCTCTCGCCCCTCTCTGTTCACTGGCCATAATTCCATCTCTACTCGAATGATTTTTCTAGAGTTTCATAGGATTTTCCATTCACTAGCATCGTAATCTAGTGTAATTGCTTTATATTCCAAAATTATATTCCTTTCAAATGCCAACAGTTTTTAATTATAATCAAATTACAATCCCCAGAAAGAAATTGATAAGCTGTGAAGTGAAAATTTAGAAGAAATCAGGTATTCCAGAGTGCGGATGGTGGAGATGTTCATGACCTTCTATTTCGCACGAAATCCTCTCAATTCCTTTCATTCTTGCCAGTTTTTTTCCACTCTCTTAGCAAAGTTTTGTTTGGAAGAGGCACGAGAAGAGCTAGTTCCAAGACAAGTTTGGAACCTTATTCGCCAAATAGAATTTGATGAGGTAGTCTGTAGATTCAATTGAAAACCTACTATTACTTAGTAAAATGGCTGTCGATCGATAACTGAGTGACTCACGGTGTGAAGAAATTCAATTAGAAAATCAACGACCTCAAGATAACATCGTGGTTTGCTATTAACAGGGGTAGAAAGCTGCATAAATGTTGCTACTTCGTTGTATCCGAGAATGCAAAGTGAGCCGAATGTGGTATTTTTTATTTGGAGGTCTTTAGAAACGAATATTTTCAAAAACTGCGAGAAGGGATTAAGAATCCTTTCTTATGGGTACGATTTTCTCCCACATAAAATTGGACGCGTGCCAGCAATGGTGGCGTGCGTAAAAGCATCTGTCCAACTCCAGTCGGCTAGAAAGCGAGCAGAACTCCAAGCAATTATTAGCCATAAACTGGTTAGGATTACAAAAAGAATTCGAGGTAGTCATCCGAAAAGATACTAGTAGAATCCACGAGAATTTAATGAAAAAGAGATGATGAGCTGGGATGAATCTGCTACTTCGACAGGCTCTTAATAATATCCTTTCGACAATGTAATCTCACCTGCTCAGTGGTATCGATTTCATGGCTGGAATTCCTTGATATCTTATCTTATCGTGGTCGATCGCATCTCTTCTTTGCCACAACATCCAACTCACTAAGGAATGAAGCTCACCTTCATAGTCACTGTTAGGCAGTCCTTAGCTTATTACNTTTTCTCCCACATAAAATTGGACGCGTGCCAGCAATGGTGGTATGCGTAAAGGCATCTGTCCAACTCCAATCGGCTAGAAAGCGAGCAGAACTCCAAGCAATTATTAGCCATAAACTGGTTAGGATTACAAAAAGAATTCGAGGTAGTCATCCGACGATGAAAAAATACTAGTAGAATCGGCGAAAATTCAACGGAAAGAGATGTTGAGCTGGGATGATTCTGCTGCTTCGACGGGCTCTTACTGAAATCACTTAAAATATGTGATCTCACCTGCTCAGTGGCATAGGTTTCACTGCTGGGATTCTTATCTTA